AAACAGTAAATTAATCCCTTGATAGGGATTAACTGAGTGGTAATTGAAGTGGGAGGAAGTGGGAGTTGGGGTGTGGCTTGGGGTATATATTTGTATCTGGTGAGTGGGGTCTCTTTCTCTCTCTCTGCCTTCTGATCACCATGTGAGCTGCTTCCCTCTGCCACACTCTTCAGGGTATGATATTCTGCCTCACTTTGTGCCCCAGTGAATGGAACCAGCCTTCTATGGACTAAGACCTCTGAAACCATGAGCCACTAAATAAACATTTCCTCTTCTACAGTTGTTCTGGTCTGGTCCTTTTAGTCACAGTAGAGAAATAGCTGACTAAAACAGTGTACTATATAGTGAATTCCCCTATTATACATATCCACAAGACACTAACTACTAACTAAATAGCAGAAAATAGTAGAGAGGAATAGGGTGAAGGAGGAACAGAGGGAAGGGAGAAATATTGGGGACTGAATTAGAACAAATTATATTCCATGCTTTTATAATTATGTCAAAATGAATTATAATGCTATGTATAATTAGAAAGAACCAATAAAAAATAATCCTGGGATTATATAGCAACCATCTATATTTGAAAAATGGAGAAACTGAAGCTGAAGGTAGCTAAGTGATTTAGCTTAAACATCTAGTTATTTACCAAAGTAACATTAGGATATGGAACATTAACTGAGTTTGCAAGGCTCTTTTGATTTGCCCATAAAGCCTCCTTCCTATCTCCTGCCATGTCCTAGAGCACTGTGACAGGATCTTGTGGAAAGATATGCATTTACCTTGTTGTTCCTATCCTGATGGAGTCTAAATTTAACAGGAAGCTAGTGTACACATATCAACTATTTTATTTATTATAAAGCAAGCACACAGATACACCATCTCCTGAGTTCTAGGCTTTGAATCCAATGATATTTCTTTTGGAAAAAACTATTTTTGCTAAAAGTTTTTAATGTAAATGTTAGCATGGGCTTCCTCAAAGACTATTTTACAGATATAACTTGAAAGCACAGGAAATCTTCCTCTGGAATATTTGAGGATAAAAACATATTCAACATTCATACTGGGCATTTTTAAGAAGGTGGCACTCACCTAGGTTTAAGAGAGATTATGTATTTTTTAAATGATAAACAACATTGAATTTAACCATGTGAGGTACATTAATAATGAAGTTTAGTAGATAATTTCATATATAATGTTGCTAGATAAACTGTAAGCCTTATCATGAGAGTTGTGAAATGTCAAAAGAACAAAAATAGTGGCACTATATTTAACATCTGTAAATGGGCATATATAGTATTTAAACTTCTGGCATTTACTCATGCTAAAACTTTAAAAAAATAATAATACTCTTTGATCATTTAAAAAAGCATAAACAAGGCTGGGTGGGGGTGGTATATCTGCCTAGCATTCTTGAGGCCCTGGAATCAATCCCCAATATGACTAAAAAAAAAAAAAAATGACCCATAAATTACGGGAAAGTTAAAGTGAAACTAATAGATTGAACTTCCAAGCTAATATGATTTATTTATTAAATAAATGGATGTTGAGGAAGGCACGGTTAAAGGAGGCTAATGTTTCTAAATGTAAATGTTTCCATAATTTCTGAATATCATCTTCCATATTAGCAAACAGATTTCTACAGTAGAAGGAAAGATAATAGGTTCTAACATTTCTGATAACTAAATCGCTGCCCTAGTCCACATCTCTCCCCTCAAGTTCCTTCCTTCCTAAGTCTCTTCTGAAAACAAACTCAGGCTCTTACATGTGAGTAACATGGGTAATGGGCAAACAGGAAGACTGAGCAAAGCTAGGCAGAGAGGCCAAGGAGATTACAAGAGAAGGCAAATAAAGAAATGAGAGACTATGTGTGCACAGAACTGAACAGGAAATTGAGGACCTTCTATCAGGGAAAAGAGACAGGTCTCCCGTGAAATAAGCATCTGAGGTGTACAGGAGATTCAGGAGAGTGAGAGAAACAGGAAAAGAGAGTTCTAAAGGCTGATGGCAAAAATAGAGTTGCTATTTTGCATACTAATATTTTCTTGAATTTGACATTATTCTGAGAAGAGAATATATGGCAATTGAGCTTTCTACGGGTTATATAAAGCCATCATTTCAGAAGCCTCATTTGTGGCAAGAAATGGATAATACAGAGAAGAATTCTCTAGGAGAGCAACCATTATAAGCTGCTCAAATTAGCATTTGTACAAATTCCTTACTCTAATAACTCTAGTCTGGCTGAGAACTATTTGGTTATTATAGCCACAAAACACCATTTCATATCAGCTTCAAGAAAACTAAAATGTTAATTTCTGAAGAATGTGTGAAAATTAACTTGGAAGAGAAAGAAGGAAAACCTACGAGGGTCCTGAGAAAACTAGATGTGGAAACTTATCACCCAAAAAAGAAAATGCTTTAAGAACAAGGCGAGAGAAAAGTCAAACACCCTCTCCCAGCTATGGATATGTTCACTATCCTGATTGCAGTAATGATTTCACAGGTATATACAGTTGTCAAGACTCAACAAAGTATATATTTTAAGTATGTGTACTTTATTGTGTCAGTCAACATAAAAAAATAACAAAAGAAAAGAACAGCAAAATATCTATCCAGGGTTCCACATGCATGAAAATGAACAGCTGCCCATCTGCAGTTCATAAGGAATACCAATTTTCAAATGCACTTGAAAACTTCGAAGTTTTCACATTGCCAAAACACATATACAAATGTATTCTGTTCACAGTAGATGAAATATGGAACATTTAACATTTCAAATTAAAATAACTATTTAAATTTATGAAATTAACTTTTATGGAAAAGAAGAAAATGGGGAAGAAAATGGCAACATGAAGAACATGTGATGTTGGTGTGGAAGAAAGATTGTTATACTTGGTACTAAACATCCAGTTGTGAATTTAAAAAGTAGTAGGGTTGCAAGAAGAATGGGAATAGAACAGCCATCCTCCCATCTATTCATTCATTCAACAAGTATTTAATGAAATCTTAGGAGAGCTAAGCATTATAAATCAACAAACAGCAAAAGGGAAAGAGTCTCTTTATTAATTTATAGTGTGGCACGGAACAATGTCATCTAACAAGTGATTAATTACCTTTTGAAAAGACAAAAACAATGAAAAGATTCATGAAAAAGTATGACAGGGTTGTCAGAGAAAACTTGCCTGGGAAGGTTTTCTTTGAACTGTGCACAACGATTCATCCTTAACTGTTTGAAAGAAGACAGCACACAGAAAGTCCCTGTGACAGGTAAAACATGGCATTTTTGAATAAACAAGATACAGAGTAGTCTAAAAAACACATATTTGGGAGTTGAAATGCATGATAATTTATAATAGACCATCTGTGAAAGGAAAGGGAATCAACAAGAATGACACCAAGCCTTCTGCAATATGCAACTGGATAGATATGCATGGAGTCCATGGAGATAAGAAAGGCAGAGGGAAGCCAAGCTGGAGATTAGGTGTCCATTCTGATTTCAGGGTTCTTAGAACTTTCAACTAACAATGCCATGTAGGACTGTATAAAAATTTAAAAACTGTTTCAAGTGATAAAGTAGATTGAAAAGGCAACCTCTGGAATAAAGAAAATATGTGCAAATCCATATCTGATAAGGTGTTAATACCCAGAATACACAAGGAATTGCTATAACGCAAGAATAATAACAGCAAAACCAAATAACCTAAGAAACAGGCAAAGTTGTTGAAGAGACGTTTCTCCTAAGAAAATACATGGCTCACAACCATATGAAAAAATGTTCAACATGATTAATAGTTAGGGAAATATAAATAAAATCCATAATGGAATATGACTTCCCACCAATTATGATGGTGACTATTAAAAAAAAAGAAAGAAGTGAAAAGAAAAACAAATGCTGGCAAAGACAAGGCAGAAATCAGAGGTCTTCTATGCTATTAATGGGAGTATACAGTGGTGTAGCCATTTTGAAAAAGAGCATGGAGGTTCCTCAGACTTAAAATGTAATTACCATATGATCCAACACTACCACTTGTGGGCACATATTCAAGAAAACTAAAAGAAGAGAATCAAAGAAATTTTATATTCAGGTTCATAGCAAAAGAGTTGAACAAACCCAAAGGTCCATGTATGTACAAGTGGGTAAAAAAATTGTGGTACATACATGTAATGCAATATTATTCATCCATAAAAAGAAAGACAATCCTGACATACCCCACACCATCTACTGACCTCAAAGACATTACACTAATGAAACAATCCAGACACAAAAAGACTTACACCATAGGATTCCAATTCTATGAAGTACCAGAAGTAGTCAAACTCATAGAATTTTAAAAAAGTGGAGTGTTGGTTTTCAGGAACTTGGGGAAAGGGGATATGGGAACTTTTTAAATATACACTGAGTTTCACTTTTACAAGATGAAAAACTTCTAGAGATTAGTTTCTCTAAGATGTGAATATATGTAACATATTGAACTGTAAACTTAAAAACAGTTAAGATGATAAATTTTAGACTATGTTTATTTTACTACAAATAAAAAATTAAAAAAGCTGAATATATAATATGATAACTAACTAGATGTGTGAGAAAAGCTATAAACTGAAAGTATAAATTTGTAAATCATACAGAAAAACAATAATCTTATATCATTCTACATTCTTCTCACTCATTATCCTTAAAATCCTGGGTTTTTAGTGACTCAATAAGTATAAATCCTTTTAACCCTCCTTCTTAAAGTCTGAATTTCACAATGAGTTTGTTTTCATCTACCAACGAAGAACAATTAAAATATTCTGAAGAAACAGCAGACACGGACTATTTGTAACTGTGCTAAACTATACCAACAACAACAACAAAATGTCTTTGTGTATACACCTAATTCCAGCCAACATTGAAAATAGAAAGTGTACACATGGAGGAAAAAGATAAAACTATGCCTTTGTGTATCCATAGTTCCCAAAGAAAAAATCCACATGATCCCTCTTATCACCGAGCTTCTGCCTACCTTGTTTGCGCACATCCTCTACAGCGGCCACCAACTCTTCTTTGAGATCTTGACTCTCCTTAGCGATCTGTTCACCCTTTTCCAGGAAGTTCTGAGTAGCTTGCTCTACAGATGCGGCCAGTACATGGGCTTTCTTTGACCTCCCTTTCTTTTTACCAGATGGGCCTTTGTTGCTTGTGTTGACAAGTGTTGTCACCTTAAATATAAAAGGGAAACTGTAAAACCACTCCGCAAAAACTGTTGAGAAACGTGTGCTGTCATCTTCTTAATTTCTTAATATTCCATGTTTACGAGATCATGGGATTTAGTTATTAAACCACGAGTGCACATCAGATAGCCTCATCACATAACCTCATCAGCAAAAGTGTAGGACTATATGGATTAGCATATAGATTAAGCAGCCCTTATTTGTTTCCTGTAGAAACTAAAAGTAGGTGAGTAAGTAGAAAGTGGAGACTGGCCAGTAACTCAAAATCTCCAGTTGTTTCAAGGTTGTATTTCCACAGATGGACAAGAATGCTCCTTCTTGGAGTAACCAGCCTCAAGCAGGCAAGAAATCAAAAGCACACGTGGAACTACCTCCCAGCACCAAGGAAGGAGAAGCAATCTCCTGTCATGAGCCATGTAATTCTGGGAAGAGGTGAATGAGCAATTCATAAATGGGCAGGGGTCAATGGCCAGTGCTTATATGTTTTTTCCCTTGGACTTTTGAGTTTGGGTATCTATCTCTGATTTCAATTTATAAAAATAAAATGGTAAATTTAATGTGAGGGGATTAAATGATTTCGACTCCATCTTTAGTTAATCAGCTAAAGTTTCCAGAATCCAAATTAGATTTGCATTTATTATCACTTCTTTTTCCAAGTATCATAATTTGAACACACATCTCAACTGCCAAACTTCTTTTAGTACTAAATCTAGAGCTACTTAATTTCCTAACAAAGCTTTTAGCATCTTTCAAACAACTTGCTATCTCCTTTTATATATATTTACATATATATATTTCTGAACTTTTAATTCCTTACCAGGGAGAAGTTTGGAAAGAAAATGAACACATCTGCTCCATTTTCTGATCAGCAAAAGTTGCCAGTCTTGTTTACTGCTGTATTTTTTTTAAATCGGCCTCAAAAGAATGTGGGTTCTGTGGTTTATTTTCATTGACATTTATCCTGGTTAGCAGAGTAAAGATTTCTTTTGGAGGTTATCAAGAAAGGCAGTCCACAGAAAAGTTCCCAATGCTGTAGCTTCTGATGTTTACTCCAAAGCCCAGAGCAAGCAAAGCCATTAGTCAAAGTCACAATTAATGTCCAGTCAGTTCACAGGGAAAGAGATAACACCAAAAGAAAACTAAAGCATTCAATAAATATACACTCAGGTGATGCATACAGGTAGAACCAGTACTTAAGGAGTGATTGTTGCAGTTTGGGGAGCCGTCATATTCAGATCTCTTTTGATTACTAAGTAATTAAATATATGAGATTAAATAAACACTCTATAAGGACATTTAAGTATACGCACTAGACAAAAACAAAAAATAAAGCTAGAATCATTAAAATAAGAATGTCAGATAACGTGGGGTTTTTTTTTCTGTAAAATATGTATGCAATGAGGAACACACTGTAGTATATTTAGTTCCACCCTCGAGAAGCAATTGTTCATTATGAGGCAAAGCTTGTCTCTGAGGTTGCTTTTCTGAGGGTGCTCCTTAATGAGGATTTAGTCTAACACATTAACATGCTACTGTTCCAGGACCCACATCTCCCCCATACCTGGAACGAAGTGTATGAGCCCTCCATGCAAATGCAGCTGACATCTAAACTCCCAACTTAGGCTATACACTTTATATCAGAGGAAAACACTCTCTATTTTTAGTTATATCTGATTTATTCTCATGGTATACATAATTCTGAGTTTGGGGATAATTATTTTGACTTCTCAAATTAGAAAAAATATTGAAGGAGGAGGAAGCTGTTAGTTTCAGGCATACTGACAATTTAAAGAAGTAGAATCTGATAGCAAAGGTACCAAAATAGTCAAATGACTATATCACAGGCTTCTCTTCTGTAGAGCCAAACACACTTAGATTATTCTGTTATCTCGTGTGGCATTTCTATATTAAGCATAATATAAGTAATTTTCTTAATAACAAGCCGCTGTAAAGTATCTGTTATGTAAGGGAAAATAAACATGGAACATTTCCAAGAAGTTCCTAAGAAAAACGTGATTACTTCTAAAACAGAAAATCAACTCAAACTTCTTTGAGTGAAAGAACTTAATTACTTATGGGTGGAAGAGCATGAAGGGAGAAGAGAGAAAAGAAAGGAAAGAAGGTTGATAGGGCTCCAAAAGGTTAATGCCTTCATGGATTTAGAACAAGGAAATAATTGCCAACACTCCACACTGCTTTTCCGTGTTTTATTGGGAGACAAAATCAATATGTTAGAAAAAAAAGAAGAGATACAAATTATTAGAAAAGTCGATATTAAATTACATTATGGCTTATAGAAAATAAGATTTTCAATGGGCACAGTAGTGCTCACCTGTAATCCCAGTTACTTGAGAGGCTGAGGCAAGAGGATCACAAGTTCAAGGCCAGCCTCAGCAATTTAGCAACACCCTATGTCAAAATAAATTTTTTTTTAGAAAGGGCTGGAGATGTAGCTCAATGGTAAATTGCCCCTGTATACAATCCCCGAAACTGAAGGGAAAATTTTAAAAAGGTTCTTAAGAACATGTGAAAACAAAAAAGATTAAAAGACAATTAGAACTACTCTAAGAGCAAAGGACAAGAAGGCTAAATACTAGATAAACAATTAATCTAATAGAAGAGCAGTGACCAACTATAGAAATGTAGTTTTAAATATGTCATACACAATAACCAAGAGCCGGTATACTAGAGATGACCATAACACAACACATACAATGTTGTATGGAGAAAATGACAATATTTTGGTGAAAAACATAAAGGATGACCTGAGCAATGGAGACACACACCATCCCATTCTTGGACAGGAAGACTTGAGATTGTAAAGATGTTTCTGTTTTGCACTGACTTCAAAGCAGCTCAACCCAAATCTGTGGTCCCTGTTAGTCTGTATGTTATAGTTCATTGTTTCTAGGCTACAAACTGTACATGTTTCTATACAAATTACTGTAGCAACTGTAAAAAAAAGTTGTAAGTATTTGTGTACCTAAACATATCTAAATAAACAAGTGTGTTTATAGCAGAATCACCACAAAATGGATAATTGTATAGTGCTACAATGCTACCATATTATACCAGGCAATAGGAGTTGTTCAGTCATATTTTCACCTATGGGGCACTGTAGAACACATGGTTAGTGCTGACTGCAGTGTTGTTATATGATACATAAAGTAATGCCGGGCATTCACTGAAGGAAGTGCTTAGTACTGGAAATATGAAATGGGTAGAAATATATCTCTTTTTAAAATTCCTAAATATTTTAACCAGTTGTGCCCATCTGAGAAAGCCCAGGCTCTGTTAAGTGCTCCTGAAAATTAAAGATTCAAACTAATTAAAACAAAGATTCACTACTTTATATTTAGTAAAATGAAACAAAATAAACTAAGACTCTTCTAAGAAAAAGTAGAAACACATCTGAAACCGGACTAAACAAGAAATACTCTTTAATCAACACTATGTTAGTTAATGAATTTAGTGGACCTAAACTCCCACTGCCCTAAAAATTACCATCTTTTGTCTGCAGTCTTTGATTGGCAAGGGCAGCGGTTCGATATTTTCCTTCTTTACCGTCTGCGAACTGCAACCCCTGGAGCATGTACTCTTTGGGAAGTTATAAGGCAATCAGTGGAATGCGAGAAAACCATAGGGGCTCTAGAGTGGTTTTTGTATCAAAATATAAGAAAGAGAAATGACTATATAAGTCATATGAGGACTTCCGCCAGTACCGTCACACCATCATCAGTACATCAGATGGTCAAATATCCCATATGATAAGGTAAGTTGAAAGAAGGGGTAAGGATCCCCAAATTAAAAATTGGCATTGGTGACTGTATACTTTAATGTATTACCTGGTGAAGTAGGTTTAAGTATTATAATATCTAGTTCACACATTTTCTTTCACACAAACACACACACACACACACACACACACACAAACACACACACACATCTTTACAAAACAAAAGAGCAATGTTAAAAGACTCCTGAAAAGAAATCGAAACTTGAAAATAGTACTAAAAACATGCATATATTAACCATAAGAAAATACATAGCTGACACTCCCCCTACTCAAGTTCTTTGTCAAATATAAAGAAAAAAAACTAATAGCTGAGAAGTTGAAATTTACATTTAGTTCCATTATTACTAACAGAGGATCTCATGGCAGTTTCACTGATGTATTAGCTAATGATAATATAAAAGAAATGTGATCTGCAAAACTTTAAAAAGGTAAGCATCCAGAAATTTTCATTTATTTATTTATTTATCTATCTATTTAATGTGAGTAGTAAGTTTTTTTTATTATTTCTATTATTGTTAGCAGAGAAGATTACTGGGTGCTAGTAATCCATTTTTTTTCTCTGTGTACCATATTAAGACTTATTTTTCAGTCTTATTTAGAGTTAATTTAGACAACAGATGAATTCTAGCCAATGGAATATGAGCATCAGGAATGTGTGCTCCTCTCAAATTGTTCCATTAAGATCATCCTCCATGTTTTGTCCTTAAGCTGGCAATCTTATAAGCCAGGTCTGGAAGAGGATGAAGCCACAGATTAGATGGGGCTTGTAATGGTTTGGTTATGAAGTATTCCCCCAATAGCTCATGCAACAATGTAGGATTGTTCAGAGGTGCCGTGATTAAATTATGAGAAATGTTTCCTAATCAGTGTATTCATTCATTTAATGGGTTAATAATCTGAATGGATTACTGGATGGCAAATCTAGGCAAGTGCCACATGGCTAGAAGAAGTAGGCCACTGGGGGCATGACCTTGAGGATTATATATATTTTGCCTTTGAGATCTCTCTCTCTCTCTCTCTCTCTCTCTCTCTCTCTCTCTCCCAGTTGCCATGACCTGAGCAGATTTCCTCCACCAGACCCTTTCACACTGTGATATTCTACCATAACAGAATTAGTCCAGAGCAATGGAGCCTACTGACCATAGAATCAATCTCTGAAACCCTGAACCAAAAAAAAACCTTTTTCCCCTCT